TGAGTAATCTTTTAGCTATCTCTTTTTTTACTTCAGTGCTTGTTTCAATTTTGGCCTTCTTTAAAGAATTTTTTCATAGAACTCTCTTTCGGTCTCATTTAAATTAATTTCTAAAGCTTTTTTTAAAGTATTGTTTTTATCTATCTAAATTTCTTTATTGCTAAACTATGTACTGTTTTTCAGTAATAGTTTAAGATATGAATACCAATAGCCTACTGTTCCGTATGTAATTTGGCTCAGTAATAATAATCGGCTTCATCACTCTTTATTTTTGGCTTTGATTCTTGCAAAAAATTTTTGGGATTGTAAGGATTTAATAAAGTTCTTCAGAAACAATGGAATTGACAAGCGAAATAAGCAGGTCTTTATTCTCCTCTACTCCAAATAATTTCTTAAAGGCAATATCTACACGGGGAAGTATTGTTTTACTAGCCGCAGTAAATTTTCTGTTTAATACTCGCGGGCGAGAACAAGTGCCATCCGGATAAACTTGCGAATAAGAGCGGCTAACAGGAAAGCCAGCTTCTCAATCTCTTTTTCCCGCTTTTGCTGGTTCTCTTGTCAATTTTCTCTTAATGGTTCTTTGGTGAATGGCATAACTGTAATTCTACCAACTCTTCTAACTTGTCGTAATTATCTTCGTCTCCGAGCCTTCGCATGAGAAATTTCATTTCGCTTTGTAAATCTTTACCATCGTTTCTAGTTAACTCCTTGGGCTTTTTTTGCAAGATTTTTTCGACTTCTCGCCGGCTGTCTTGCAAAGCTTGCATTTCGGTCCGGTACCAGCCCATCATTTTTTGGGCTAAATTTAGTATTCGTTCTTTAATTTCCTCAGGGTTTAATTTTTTATTCATATTTTATATTATAAAGAGTTTATTTACAAAATTTTACGAGCAAAAAAGTTAGACAAAAGCACCGAACAATTCGCTTATGAGTTCGTATCCAGAAAATAGGCGAGAATTTTTCGTAAAATTTTAGCAATCTCGCCTTGAAACTTAAATCTGGAAGAATCTCTTTTTTTCCCCAGACAATTTGACTGACGAAAAAGAAAATGTTGATACCAAATCTGTCTGCAACTAAGCAGTGTTAAAGTTAAGTAATTCTGGAAGAAAGGTTGTGTTTTGGTGATGACAATTCTAACCCAAAACCCAGGCCAAAACAACTTGCTGAACACAAAAAAATATCAGGTGGAACAAAATCTTTTTGTTAATAC